ACTTTGATTATGGGAACATCTCAAACTCTCAGTTGTACAAAACAAAATTCCACCATGCATGTTTGTAGACCACAGTACATCTCATCTTCTGAGGCAGTTGCTGCTGGCACTTTGTTTCCCACACATCAGAAGCACTTTCTACAGAGTTGAATGCAGTGCCATACAGAGAAGCGATTCTTTAAGTAACAAGTTTTAAGGCAAGGATGCGCATACTGTGGCAACTTCAGAACATCTTATCATCTCCTTTAAAGCTGTAGCCATCCTAAATGTTTGTCTGATCATCCTCCTCCACAAAAGATGGACAGATGGATGCACACCCAAGCAACGTTGCTGTACTGCACATTTAAAAACCATTTGATTTTTCTGGTTCCACGGGTCCATGCAAATTATCTTCCTTTCAAAGTTTTTACATACTGTCATTTTTAAATTGTGTCAATGTTTCTATTGCAGCTGTACTGGCAGCTCTTATAAGAAAGCTAGAATAAGATCCTATCTGCAGGGTCTTCCTTGCTGAAAAATAACTTGTTTTGGGCCTGTCTCTCTAGTCCAGGGGTGGGAAAACTATGGCCCGCGAGCTGGATCCGGCCCCTCGGGGCTTTGGATCTGGCCCGTGGGATTGCCCCCGTGGTGTCACAGGCCCTGTGCCACTCTCAGAAGCGGCCGGCACCACGTCCCTGGGACCCCGAGGGGGTGGGTGGAGCAGAGGGCTCCGTGCGTTGCCTTTGCCTCCAGGCACCGGCCCCCGCAGCTCCCATTGGCCGGGAATGGGGAACCCCGGCCAATGGGAGCTTCGGGGGAGGTACCTGGAGGCATGGCAAGGGCAGCGCATGGAGCCCTGTGCCCCCCCTTCCCCCAGGGGCCGCGCAGGGACGTGGTTCCGGCCACTTTTCAGGCGCGGTGTGGGGCCAGGGCAGGCAGCCTGCCCTGGCCCCAGTGCGCACCGCTGCCACCCCAGAGCCGCTTTAGATAAATTCCAGAGCCCAAACCCCTCCTGCACCCTGCCCCAAGCCCCCTGCCTGCACCTCGCACCCCTCCTGCATCCCAACTCCCTACCCTGCACCCCTGTGCACCCCAACTCCCTGCCCTGAGCCCCATCACACCCTGCACCCCTGTGCACCCCAACCCCCTCCCCTGAGCTCCCTGTCACACCCGCACCCCTCTTGCACCCCTGCCCTGAGCCTCCTCCTGCACTCCGCACTCCTCCTGCACCCTAATTCCCTTCCCTGAGCCTCCTCATACACCCCGCACCCCACCTCTGCCCAATCCCTTGCCCTGAGCCCGTTCCTGCACACCTCACCCACTCCCACATGTCGCACTCCCTCCCACACCCCAACGCCTTGTCCCGGCCCTGCATACAATTTCCCCACCCAGATGTGGCCCTCGGCCCAAAAAGTTTGCCCACTTCTGCTCTAGTCCCATGACTGATGTGAACATCAGTTCCGCTGTCTGAGTTAGTGCATGTCAGGGGAGAAAAGTCTCAGCCTTTAAAAATACTTGCCTTGCATTTAAGAATATACTTTTAGCTTCCCACTTTTAAATATAGGAACCTCTTGTTCTTCAAGTGCCCGAGCACAGGGGAGAGACGGCATATTTTGACCTGTCAGCAAGAGCGTCTTTGAACTAGTTTATTGCTCGTGTCAACAAAGAATGAGAAGCAACACACTCCGGGCGACCATGCATGGATGGGACTAAGACACGAACTCAAGCTCTGGCTCAGACACTGACTAACCATGTACCCTGGAGCTACACTCTGAAAGGCAGATTTTTATGGCTTGTCCACTAGTTCTGGGTGCCTTGGTCTGTGGGTCCCATCGTGCACAGCGAGCACCTGATGTTGAGGTAGATGAAAGCAGCAGGGTTCTCAACGTGTTTGAACAATCTGTCCCCTTTAAAGCATCAAGCTGAGCACTCAGATGAGGCACCCAAAGCTCGTGGACCCTTCTTGTGTTGGCTTTCACCGCTGTCCGTTTCAATATGGAAATAACGCTCCTGATCTCACCGGGTGCTTGGGAAGGTTCTTAGGGGAATAGGCTACTCCGGTGCAGGAGGCAGGTGTAATGTGGTTTTTAGCACTCAGTGTAAGGGAGGGGCAAGCTCCTGCTTTCTGAATTGCTGAATGCTCCAGAGGAAATGCGTCCATGACTTCACTCACCAGCCAGTGGCTGCAGGGCTGTGCTGGGGAATAGGATGTTACACCTCTCCCAGGGGGCTGGAAACAGCAGCTGAGGTTAGCTCTGACTGAGACTGCTCTTCAAGGAAAACACTAATCTGTGCTCAAACCTGCTTATCAAATGTATCCGGAGCATATTGCACTGAAAGCTGAAGATTATCTTTAAGAGCTGCAGTAGCTTCAATCAAATTAAATGTGGCGACCCCCAAATTAACTGGTCAAAAGCCTGAGATTGAGAGAGTTCTATAATCTGTTAGGGTCTTGGTCCTGTCTCAGCTCAGGGGGCTGGACTTGATGACGTCTCAAGATCCCTTCCAGCCCGACATTTCTATGATTCTGTGCCATCTCTAGCTAAAATAAGCTTTGAATTGAAATGTTATGTGGGATGACTTCTCAGTGTTGACCAAGTGGTCTGGAAAAACATTGAAACAAAGTCTACGCAGGCATTTTGAAACTCAGACAATGCCCCACATGTTTCAGTGTGGTTGGATGCTTTCAGGGAAAAGTTGCTGGATATTGAAAGGTGCTGAGCACCTGATCGCAACAGGAATTCTGGGCACTCAGCAAAGCAGGCTGATGATCCAGGTGCCTCAAAGTCAGATTTTGGTGAAGAACTTCAGGCACCAAGTTTGGAGAAATAGATCAACATGTTCTTATTCCCGTCATGGGAATGGAGGCGGAGATGGACTGACATGCTGGATGTAATGAACCCCATTATACTGATAGTCTGTAGTTACTCTTCTCAAATGGGTGAAAATTTTAAACTGTAAGCTACCAGAACTGTCTCTCACTAGCAGGGAAACGCTGTGCGAGACCAACTCTTCTCTGGCAGGGTAAGACTTCCGTTTAAACCAGTTGTTGACACCGATCTCATACGTGCAAATTATGTGAGAAAAAAAGCTCTCTTTTTAGGGCTTTGTAGCAACACCGGTATTTAAATTCACAAGACATTGTACTCTGAATGCAAACAAGCTGATGGGATCAAAAGGCACAGTGTGAGCACTCCATTAGCCTACCTAATAAAACACTATTCATATAAATTGCCTAACAAACTACGTTGTAGCTACCCAAAGAATCTTCATGAATTATGCTACCTCTACTTTTGGCGATGTGTAGCTACATGCTGCAGCAAAAAACAAGCTGCATCCACACTGCGGTGTGTAGCTACAAGTGTCAGTAATAAGCTCTGGCAGGGGGGAGGCAGCAGGACACTACACAGTTAAAAATAGCTGTGTAGACAGGCAGGCAAGGCTTGGGCAAGAAGAGAACCATATGTATGTATTCACATACATACCCACACCCTTCCGGTGTGTCTTTACTCACCTAAGATGTGCCTCACCATCTACATCACTACTTAAACCCCTGCTGAGGGGGGGAACAGGGGTCCCACCCGAGTGCATACTCTACATGCCACCAGAAGCGTGTGATATACACATAGCTTTAGAAACCCCTTCAAAGGGCATATTTTGACGTCATTTGGACGTAAATGTTAAATCTCAAAATTGGGGTGTTTTTTAAGAAGGATCTTTGTATTATCCCAGTGGGGTATACAGATAATTCCATCAGTTCTGGTTTCTGCAGATATCTGCTACTGACATAACAGGAAGGATCCTGTAGTTTGCTACAGTGCTTGGCCTGTGCCGCCTGCTAGACTTGCAGTTACAGGTAAATGGTGCTCATTGTGAAGATGAGATGCCCAAAAGGCTCTCAATCAATCACAAGGGGGTACAGGAATTACTTGGTGAAATCATATGATGTGTGCTACACAGGAGGTCAGATTAGGATTATCATAGATGTGTCCCTTATGGCCTTAAATTTGGCATTATAATCAACAGTATTTTGCATTTTTAGAAAAGGAGTACTTGTGGCACCTTAGAGACTAACAAATTTATTTGAGCATAAGCTTTCGTGAGCGACAGCTCACTTCATCGGATGCAAGTGAGCTGTAGTTCACGAAAGCTTATGCTCAAATAAATTGGTTAGTCTCTAAGGTGCCACAAGTCCTCCTTTTCTTTCTGCGGATACAGACTAACATGGCTGCTACTCTGAAACTTGCATTTTTAAAGGAGACGATGATAGCGAAGAGCAGACTATAAATACCTCTTCCCTCATAATGGCTGGGTGTGTATAGTAGAATATCCAAGTAACATTCTTTGTAGCAAACTCCGGAGTATCTCTCAACTTGCAGCTGTAATAAGTGGTTGAGGGCCAAATTCAGTCGTGATAACTCGGGGGGGGGGGGGGGACAACTTACCTGTCTGTCTAATAGACTGTAGGCAATCTAATGGGGCCTGCTCAGCTTTCTTACAGTAACTCAGTGGGGTTACTCTAGGTTTACACCAGGGTAAATGACAAAACTTGGCTCAGGAAGTCCTAAGCTGGTGATGTAAATACCATAGAAAATGGGAATTACACCAGTTTAGGCTCCCTACCATCACCTCTGAATCTGACCCAAATGGTGATCGTCACCATGGGGGGGCACCTGCTCTGAAGAAGACTCAGTTTGGGACATGGTGGGGGCACTGGCAGACTGGCCCTGCAGTGGAGCGTCTGCATTCACGTGCCATCCAGTGTCTGTGCTCCCACCCCTGACACTGAGGAGTGGGCTAGGAGCCATGAAAATGCTCATCACCGTGACAACAGCAGCAACAGAGATTCTGGCCTTTGCACTGGACTAGCAGGTGGATGGGGGCTGATTTCCAATGGGGGTGAAACTGCATCACCACCTGGTGTCCCTCCAAAGCACAAATCATGCAGGGATTGTACGGGGCAAAGCTCACCCTGGCAGACTGAGTGTTAACTCTTAACCTCTCTGTTCTGTTTTTGGCAGCTGTGGCTGACGTTTGCTCCAGTGGCTGACAAAACAGCAGCCTACTTCCACATCTCCATGGATACAATTAACTGGCTGTCCCTGGTGTACCTTCTCATATCTATCCCATTTGGACTGGTGGCAACCTGGATTCTCGACACCGTGGGACTCAAGTGTGCTGTAAGTTTAAATGAGAAGCTGCATTAACTAACTAAAGTTGGGGTTGTGTATTTTTGTATATGCAAGCATAATCTTTGCTAACTAATACTCAATGTACGTAGCAGCCTAAGTCATGACATTCTGACTAAATATCGTGTGAGATGAATGTACTTAAAACTTTCCTTCCTACCTTGCAATGAATAGAATCTGGTCCAAGAGGAAATGAAGTGAGAAACAACAAGAAAAGAAAACACAAAGTAGAGTGGAAATTACTGTCTGATACCTTCCCCTTTTTCTCTTTAGGACCACTAATTTACATTTCTCCCTGAACTTCACTTGTTTGTATTTACCAGGAAGTCTTTCCTGATAACTTGAAACTTCATCAAGTTACCATGAAGCATTCGGAGATGGTCTCTGCCCCGTACCAAACAAACTTTAGTCACACATGAACTCGATCAGAGTATTGAAACCAGATGCATTATGGAACCTGAACGTCTGTCTTTATTTCAGACATCCAACTGGGGTTGGTTTTGTTGCTCATTTACCAGTGTCTTTTGAGGCCATAAGCTTCCTAAATTAGGCAGGACTAAACTTGCTTGTCATGTGAGAAAAGGTGGCTTCACACTACCTGAGGCTCAGCAGACCTGAGTGCATCTTTCAACACATGCAAGCCCCAGTCAGTTGATGGCTGTGGTGAGACTGTATGGAATGAAAGAGGAAAATAAAACGAGTGAGTATTTCCGATGGAACCACGATGCTGCCAGCACCTCTGCATGTGTCTGAAGGAGAGGGAAGGGATTAGGAGCCTGGGACATGCCAGATTGGTCACCTGGAGTCATGCCACATCCTAGAACTTAATTCCGTCTCCCTCAGTCTGCAGCTAAGTCAGCAAGTGACTCCAGTCCCTCTTTACGTGTTGTAGGTGATGCTTAGCGCTTGGCTGAACATGGTTGGAAGCGTCATCCGGACTTTCAGCGTCATCAGCTTCCTGAGTCTGGGATCCCTGACCTACATGTACCTGTTCATAGGACAGTGCCTCTGTGCTCTGGCCCAGCCACTTGTCATATTTTCTCCAACAAAACTAGCGGCCCTGTGGTTCCCAGATCACCAGAGAGCTACAGCAAATATGATCTCTTCAATGTGTAAGTAACAGCTACAAACATGCCGAGCTGGAGCGAGGTCACTCCATAGCAGAACCTTCCTGTGGTATACGTTGCCTATGGAGCTGTATTATAGGGACCGCGCAATGTGTAAGTGAACTAAAGCGTCACAAAACCCCATGAAGTAGGCAGGTATCTCCACATTGCAGATGGAGAACAGGTCATATGACTTACTCATCACATGGAAAGTCTGGAGTAAAAACCCCAGACCTCACAGTCTCTTCCCTCTGCCTTAGCCACAAGACCATTTTCCTCCTGCAAATCCCATGCAGGCTGCTAGTAGCTCAAAATAGTCACCAAATCTTAACTCATAACTTGAACCCAGCTCCTCAAATAAGCAGGTGTCCAAATCACTACTGACTTGAACAGCTAGGTGCTTTGGCAGTGTAAGGGCTTGTCTACATGGCACCGCAATCTGGACTACAGGGCTATGAATTGTAGAGTGCTCTGAAGTGTTAACCTCTAATTGCCTCATGTAGATCCTGCTGGTGTGAACAGGGTCCTCCCACCTTGTAATTAATACACCTTGATCCTGTGAAGGAGGAAGATTAACTGCAGGAAAGGTTATGAATTCATATTCATATGAAACCATATTCATATGAAAAGGAAAATAAAAATAAAGAACCCAGAAGAAAGGAAACCGGATAACTTAATTTTCTCCCTAAATTTGAATAGTTAGTTTCCAAGGTGCTAGAAAAGGCTGTGAACAGAAACTAGTTCATCATAAAACATTACACCTAGAAACCATCCTTAGCTGTCGGTTTTTGCCATTTGCAGAGCTTACTTCTCTCCCGGCACAGTATTGCTACTGACAGCTCTCTCAGTTGCATGCAACAGCTAGTTAAAATCCTTAAAAATCGAAAGCATCCCTGCTATTCTCCTGTTGAATAAATGTGCACTGGAAAGGTACATACTACAATGAATATTGACTATCTAGCTGATAAATGTCAACATTCCTTAAAATCTTTGAGCATTTTTAAAATGTGGGATATACTCTGTGTAGTGTGTGACGAGTTCCTGTTATTTTTAATGGGATGTTGGAAAGTTCCTTTGTGATAGTTTGAAAAATAAATGGTTGTTTTTCTGTTTAAAAAAAAATCACCTGAGTATTGAGCTGTCAGATCTAGGTATTGTTCATTACCGGTAAGTATGAGAACAGTAAGTGTACCATGCAAGCACACCAGAATACGATAGCTTGCCCAACACCTGCTATTTCTGTTGGCTCCCCACTGGCCCTAATTAACCAGTCTAAACAGACTCTACTGTAGTCATGGAAAAAATTGAAACGGCATTGGAGGTAGCCTGGATTGTCTGGCTGAGCTGCAAGGTGCTTATAGAAGTCTATAAATTGTTCAAATTTGCAGTGAAAACCCGTCTCAGATCTGGTTCTTAAATCTGCTAGCTGTGTAGTTGGATAATTGTATTACACCCGTGAGGTGAAAGTGCCAGCGGGGTAAAGTACTATTAGATGTTCGGCTAGTGGCAATGACTGCGGAGACATGATGTTGTAATATGCCGGTACGTTTGAAAGTGGGCCAGCTAGTACAGAGGCATGTTGTATTTTACTTGACAAAGGAAATGCGAGTCTGCACTGCATAGCGTATGGGCCTGTGCTAGCGCTGGGGGCGGATAGCATTTGGACTGACAACTAGAGTTGTTCCAGCTTCATTTTTGTTCCTCCCGTAAGCCATTTGCCTGGGCAAGTTGGTGAGAAGGGATGAAGAATTATTTAAAGACCAGGATGGATGTGTTGTTACCATGCTTAGGGGGAACAATTAAATCAAAAAGTTAAGGTGACAAGAACAAATGGAGGTAAAGTGGCAAGGAATACCTTTAGGCTGGAAATTAGAAGGAGGCTTCTAACCATCAGAGGAGTGAGGTTCTGCAGGGCCAAACACCCCAACTAGCTTGAAGAGGGAAAGCTTGACAAGTTTATGAACAGGATGATAGGACAGGATTGCCTGCAGTTGCAGGGGACTGGACTTAATGACCTAGGAGATCCTGCCTAGTCTTATTTCCCTAGTTGAATTCCAGGTAAAATTTCTAGAAAAGGCTAAGACACTTAAGTATTTTTGTGAGTTTTACCCTCCAAATGTAACCTTACAGATGTCTTGTTCCTGATCCCCTCTGCCCCTCCCCCCCAGCCATGGTTTCATTTAAACTGAGGATGCTGTGAAATGGATGTCTCATGACATTTTGATAAATGTGGAACATTCTCTCAATTTATATAGAAAAACATTGTCTTTTTTATTTCAATCTAGCTAATCCTTTGGGAATTCTTACCGCTAACTTGCTGTCCCCTGCACTTGTGTCTGAAGAAAAAGATATACCACTGATGGTAAGCAAAAGCTGATTAATTAGTATGCAGCGTCATTTTGGTTTATATATTCAGTAGCATTGGAGTCAGGCAACCTGGTTACGTGTCTTTGCTTTGGGTTTCCTAGCTTGGACTGTACATCATCCCTGCAGTCACAGCCTGCATCCTAGCCATGGTTGGTGTTCACGACAAGGTCCCTCCAACTCCACCATCAGCAAGCGCCACATATTCCACCTCGCAGCCATTTTTCACAGGCTTGAAAATGGTAAGTGTCATGCAGAGAAGTAAGCCCCGGAATCAAACATAGCATCCTAGAACTGTAGGGCAGGACATGACCTTGAGAGGTCACCATGTCCAGCCCTCTATGCTGAGGCAGGAGCAAGTGTACATGCTGCTTGGCTTCCATGGTGTCATTGTCACCCTCAGCTATCCTGTTGTTGTGGGCAGGCCAGCAGGTGGGCGGGTGCTGAGATTTGTTGCCCAAGTAACTGGAACCTATTTTTTTAAACCTACATTCTGAACTTTGCAGCTTCTGAGAAATAAACCATACATCATCCTGATGGTCTGTTTTGGAGCAGGGATTGGGATGTTCACCTGCTTTTCGACTCTTCTGGAACAGATCCTGTGTGTAAAGGGGTATTCAAATGTAAGGCCTTTTTGCATCTTACGCATTATTTGTTATACGGTTGAAATGAACCTCCACTAATTAGTGATCAAAACAAGATGAAGCCACTTGATGTGGTGCACTTGTCTAAACTAGCTTATCAGTGTCTGAGATGTACCAGACTAGCATACATCAAGGTACATCATCAGTCTTTAAATACGATACGTTATCTGATGTTTAATTCGTATCCTTGGTTGGGTCACCACTTGTGAATGAAACTCTTCTCTTGCTGGATTTTACTTTGTAAAATAAAGGCTTTTAATTGATTGTAGAGGGGTTAAATGCAGCTAAATGCAGTCCCTTATGATCCTCTCCCAATATGCAAATATGGGGCAAAGGCTCAGACAGAGGTGAGAGGGAACTGGAAACTCAAAGCAAGGTGGACTGGGTTATTTCATTGCCGCATGTGTCCTTAGCCAAATGCACATGAGCAGAGGTGGTCACCTCTCGGCTACATTTATACCCTCCAATAAACATCTCCCCCAAAGCCCTCTCTTGTGGCTCAGCCTTGTATTTGTCTCCAGCACCTCAGTTTGTGCAGCATGCAGTCTCCAACCCAGCATGGTCACAGCAAAACTCATAAGTGCTCCCTCCATTGCAGTAGGTGATCCCAGGGCAATGGGAAGAGAATGTGAGCTATGAGTCCTTCTCCCTCAGTTCCAGGCATGTTTAAAGGGAAGTTCGGAAGGCTGTGCATGGAAGGCCATACTGGCCCTGCTGGCTAAGGCGGCCAGATGGAGAATAAACAATGGTGTTCTGCATAGCTAGGCAAATCATGACAAAGCACAGGAGGAATGAGATGAGGAAACTCAGAAGGGAGATAAGGTTGAGGAGCACAACACACACACATGGGTACCACTGTACGTGGTCCTCTGTTCCTCTGTATTCATGAAACGTTGCCCTTCAAGTCGCTGTCTAGTAAAAACAGAGTAATATCGAAAATGGGTTTTTTACCTTTTGAGGTACACGACCACCACTTAAAGAGGCTCCTATCACACTCACTTAGAAAGCAGTAGTACATGCTTAAGAGTAACAGTTGTTTGCTCTGGGGGAAATCAAGCTCCACCGTTCTATGTATACAACGTTAAAATGACCAGCCTAGATGCACTTACCCAGTCTGCTTTTATCCGCGTATGGTCTTACTCCACTCCCGTCTCTACGGGATCTGAGCTCTTCCTCCGGACACCTTTTGGGATTGTCACCACCTGGGCCAGTTGCTTGCTATTCTAGATGCGTGTCCTGGGGAGGTTTTCAATATTGGTATGGATACAAAGGAAAAGCACGTTAAATAGACTGGTGGCCCACAGCCTACTGTTCATAAACCTGTCCGTGTGATTAAATATTGGTAATGTAACTAACTCTCACCTCCTAATAGTAGTTGCTCAGACACTCATTTCTATTCCCCTGTAGTTCTTTGCAGGCCTGAATGGTGCATTGTTCACTGTGTTTGGGTTACTTGGCGCCTTCCTTCTGGGACTGTACGTCGACAAGACCAGAAAATTTATAGAATCCACCAAGGTCTGTTTCTGCCTGGCTGCACTAGCCAGCATCGCATTTGCAGTAGTAAGTTCTGCGTCACACTTCCTCTTGTCTGCAAAGATGTAGTTAAAGCCCATTTCTGCAGCTGTCTGATAAAACATTCAGTAACTCCCAGTGACTTCAATCCGCTACTAGGTCACTTTCACTGACGATAATTCTGTTTATTAGGAATAGGGTTCTTTGTTACAATATAACTTGGGGGATTGTTCCCAACGGATTGGGGCAGTTCAATGAACACCATTTCCAGAATCTGCCACTAACTCAGTGTGCAACCTTGGAACCGTTGCCTTGTCTTCTTCAATCTGGAGCAATGGGGTTAATTTATTTAATTCCCAGGAACGTTGTGAGCATTAATTAACATCGGGGCAGTGCCTTGTGAGCATAAAGCATTTGAATTGCTAAGTATCATTAAACACCTAATCCTGCCTGCTGGCTCTGACAGTGGCCAATACCAGATGACCAAGGAAGGCAGGGAACTCTGTGTAATGCATCTAACTGGGCAGCCCATCCCACAGAGACCAGGGTTAGGGGAAGTCATCTCCTGAACTCAGCTAGAGATCAGTTTAGGCCCTGACGCATGAGTGTTAATGGCTTTTATCCCAGGTAGCGCACAAGTCCATACATTCAAAGATGATGGAAATGTTTGCAGAGACAGCAAAGCCCTCCTACATGTGGAATTGCTCCAAGGGGAATCGAGCACAGGACTGTAAAGTAGACATGGCAAGCGTCAGGCCATTTTTGTGGGTACGGCTGGTGGCAGGCTCTTAGTTCTTCGATGGACTGATACTAGAGCACTAGATCCATAGCTTCTTCTGTCTCTAAAATCTCAACATGCTCCACAAACATGACTGAAATATGCCTCACAATACCCCTGTGAGTCGAGTACCTTTATAACCCCACTGTAAAGAGAGGCACAGTGACTCGCCTGACATTGTACAAGATGTCTGTGGCCAAGCTTCATTAGACCCCCAGATCTCTCAGTTGATGCCTTCTCCACAGGCGGATCCCTCCTTCCTTGAGGGGGTGATGAACACAGCATCCATCTGCACTCAGGCAGTAGAACCTCAGAGTTACGAACACCAGAGTTACACACTGACCGGTCAACCCCACACCTCATTTGGAACCAGAAGCGTGCAATCAGGCAGCAGCAGAGACCAAAAAGAAATGGCAGATACAGTATTGTGTTAAACATAAACTACCAAAAAAATAAAGGGAAAGTAGCATTTTTTTCTGCATAGTAAAGTTTCAGAGCTGTGTTGAGTCACGGTTCAGTTGTAAACTTTTGAAAGAACAGCCATAAGATTTTGTTCAGAGTTATTAACATTTCAGTCTTACGAACAACCTCCATTCCTCAGGGGTTCTACTATATAGATACAGAACGGAAGTGATGCTGATCCAGAAGAAACAAAAAACCACTTCCTAATATTGTACTAAAATGTTGGGGACGGTGAACTACTTAAGCTACTTAGAGCAGAGTTAGGTCTTTTTGCCACATGTTTGTACAGCACCTTGCCCAATGGGGCTCTTGCCCAAGGCTGGGGTTCCTAGATGCTGTGACAACACAAACACCTCTGTTAAAATATTGCCATCCAAATCCATTGGGTACTTTGACAGTTTTGATGGATATTGTGGATGCACAGAGTCTTGGCAGGTCCCTGTCTGCCCAGTGCTCGTAAATCAGCATGTCTGGGCAGGATAGGCCATGTGTTTGGAGCATTCTGGCTACAGACATGCCAAAGAGTCCACCTAGTGTCTTTCTCTGCCTCACAACTCTCTGCACAGCACTGTCTCAAGTAGCGTCTGGAGAGAAATGAGACGTGTCAGGACCAACTGTGCAGAGGAAAGAGAAGGCCCTCTCCCCTGGAACCACCTGACTTACCAATTTAGCTCTTTTTTCAGTGGCTGGACTGGGCTCTACTTTTTGCCCCTCGCTCTGAGCTGGGGTGAGCTTGTTCCACGCTGAATTCATCAGAGCAGTTGATGGAATTGGTTTGGGGTTTTTCAAATGCCCCAGGGACACAGACAGAAAGAAACTGAACTTAAACCCTGGTAGTTTTCTGAGCTCCCATCTCTCTGGAGGCCAAACTGAGCCTCCACTGGGTCATTGCCCCTGCACGAAACAAAAGCCTGACTTTCCAAAGTGCTGATTCCCCCCCCCCCCACCACACACACACACTGCCCCAGCTCCATTGACGTCAGTAGGAGCTGCAGGGGCCAAGCATACAAGAAAACGAATGTCTCCATCCCCTAACACACAGTTCCATACAAATAGGTCACATTTGAGAGCTTTAGGGTAGGTGGGGAGGCCGCCAACAGAAATGGTAAATACCGTGGACTTCATATTGGTGACTGCCTGATGTTGACTCGAAGCACCCCGCAGACTTGCCATGCAGCTGTGCTGATGTAATGCCTTGCCACTCTCTCTCACTGCAGATGTCTCAGTTCAGGAATCAAGCCATTCCACTGGCTCTGATCAGCTCGCTGTTTGGGTTCTTTGGCTTTTCTATCTACCCCATTGCTATGGAGCTAGCGGTAGAATGCTCCTACCCCGTGGGAGAGGGAACATCCACAGGCTTCATTTTTGTTTCAAGGTAAGTCACCTAGTCAGACTCAACAGAAATGTATGGTTTCAGAGTAACAGCCGTGTTAGTCTGTATTCGCAAAAAGAAGAGGAGTACTTGTGGCACCTTAGAGACTAACCAATTTATTTGAGCATGAGCTTTCGTGAGCTACAGCTCACTTCATCGGATGCGTACTGTGGAAACTGCAGACCATGTAGTTCAGCCATCAACAGCAGCATCTTGCAGATAAAGAACAGCAGAGCGCTATGTTCTAGTCACATTACCAGTTTCTTCCACCTCCATTACCTACGACAATGAGTGAAGTCAATGCTGGTAGCAGCCAGCTGTCAGTATGTGGTCTGAGGTGGAAGGTAAAAGGGTCCCAGCTGCTCTGAGAACACTGGTTGATGCTGTACAGCTGATTCACTGCAACTGGCCGTGATAGTTTCATGTTGCTGGAGGGAGCTATTCAAAGGAGTCGCTGCAAAAGACAACTAGCTAGACGTAAAGAGAGCTGTGGGATTGGTGTATGGGAGGGGACAAAGAGAAAGTCCAGTGGGAGCTCAGGATCAGTCCCGCTCTGTGTGAAGTTCGGAAACAGCCTCTCTTAACAGCTAGCTTTGAAACCTGTTGAGACCATGCTGCCCCATGCTTCAGTTTTTAGCCACTGGATCATGATGTACCTATCTCAGTCTAGCAGAGGGAGGCCTAACATGCCCCAATGACTGGAAGTTGAAGCTAGACAAATTCAGACTGGAAATATATCATACATTTGTAACAGTTTGGAACAATTTACCCGGGGGTGAAAGTAACTTAAAGGACTTACTGGTATGCCGGAGTCCTGAGCAGGGGGCGTGGCCTCAACCAGAAGAGGCGGGGCCTTTAAATACTCAGGGCCTTTAAATCAAGATTTAAAGGCCTTGGGGCTCCAGCTGTGGTAGCGGTGGCTGTGATCCCCTGGCCCTTTAAATCACCCCCAGAGCTACCAGCTGCAGAGGCGGCTGGGAGCCCCCTGGGCTCAGGGGCAATTTGAAGGGCCCAGGCCACCACTACCACAGCAGAGTCCCGGGCCCTTTAAATCGCCGACAGAGCCCCAGGGGCTCCCAGCTGCCACTGCTACCCCAGGGCTCAGGCGGATATTTAAAGGGCCTGGGGGTCCACTGCGGTAGCAGCGGCTGGAGCCCGGGGCCCTTTAAATCACTGCCGGAGCCTTGCCACTGCTACCCCAGGGCTCTGGCAGCGATGTAAAGGGCGTGGGGCTCCGGCTGCCGAAGGGAGCCCCGGGCCCTTTAAATCACCAGCCTGGGGAAGTTGGTCTAGTCCGGCACAGCACACCAGCTCTTGCCGGTATGCCTTACTGGACCATACCGGCTTACTTTCACCTCTGAATTTACCAAAGGTCATGGTAGATTCTCCGTCACCAACCCTTTTAAAATCAGGATTGTATATTCTTCTAAAAAATCTGTTCTAGGAATTATTTTGGGGAAGTTCCTTTGCCTGTCATGCAGGAGGTCAGACTAGACAACCACTTCTGGTCTTGAAATCTACGGAGCTTTGAAAACCTACGTCCCCAGCAAAAAGAACAGATGATCCCTGAGCAGTGGGGAGAACTTCAAGGTGAAGCATAGAGGATGTTGCATATTGCTGTCCTACTGGCCCAGATTTGGTCAAAATGCTCCTCTGGGACAGACAGAAGTATGGTGGCATCCGTCACGAGTCAATCACACTTGGTCTTCCACTGGCTTAGATACCTATTTAATCAGTTAATGGGATTGGAACATTTCCTTCTACAGTCGCCTGGCTGTGTCTTGGGCAACGTGCTTTAGAGATAGGTTCTCCTTTAACGGGATGCAGTAGTGCTGAATTTACAATGGAGATTCTGACATTACTGCTCTGGGCTGTAGCCGGGGGTGCACTTGCCCACAGGCCAGGAGAAAGATTCAGCAAAACAAACACAGGGCACCCTCCAGAGTCTAAAGCAGGGATTACCAGACCTTTTCACAATTGGCTTCTCTGTTTGATTGGTTGTGTGGCTTGTTATGGCCCCACTCCAAGATGAGCAGGGTGGGAGCAAGTTTTTCTTCTGCTCAGTGGAGCAGTGGGGAAGAGAATTTTAAGCCTCTACCACTTGCCAAGCCACCACTTTTAACAGTCCAAAAGGGTGTGGTTTGGCAGGAGGTGTGGTGGCAGCCGTGGCATCCTGTTATTCATACTCTAATGCATATCTCTGGGATGCAATCCTCCACACACTAGAAACACTGCCCTTTACGTAGGCTTGTGTGCTTGGTTAAGTGCTCGTGGTCTCTGCCTATTGTACATCTGTGTATAAAATTTTCAAAAGTACTACATTACTGGATGTTTGTTAATTGTATTCTTGTCTACACATGAGACAAAGGCTTAACCTAATAACTGCCTTTGGGTAGCTTCATCATACCAGACAAGGGGATGAAAGGCCCTTGGAGAATTAATCATAACTGTCCTCGTCCCCGCTTACAGATGAGAAGCTAGCTGTGCAAGGGGAGACTCCATCTGCCTGAGGGGTGGCCCTGCTTTGGCTATGGGACTGATGAATCAGGACTAGGAGATTAGCTCAATGATGGTTTCTCTCTGTGCAGTCAGATCCAAGGAGTGATCTTAATGCTTCTAGTGCAAGCCCTCACGGTGCAGATTTCCACGGCTCCATTCTCTACCTGTGACATTGAGGAAGGTGGAGCGTTAGACTGGACAGGTAAGTGCCCCCTTGTCTTAAAACGCATTGATGTGTATAATTGAGGGGTGTCCTACCCGATCCCCAGGCAGTCTATGACCAGAGTTCCTTACTGTGCCACGGAATGGATTCCTGTTGGAATATGCTTCATTACCATCCCTTGGGCTGACGCTGGGCTGGCCAACTGGGAGCCAGCAGCTATTCCTCACACCCCACTTGCTGGTGCTTTCCCTGCTGTCATTGCTATGACAGCAGTTTCCAGGTGGGAGGGTGGAATGAAAAGCCACGTCGGATGCCAATAATGTTGCTAAACAATCCAATTTAAACGGTTCCCTTCCTCCCACCCTGGAGAAGCCTGATCCCTTTTTGGAGCTTCATGTAACTGACTTGCAGTGCGTGCATGTCTCCAAACACTGCATGTCTCACGGAATCTCCAGCAGAACTCTGCAATTGCACAACTTGACAAAGCAGCAAGACTAGGCACTACAAAACCGGGCAGCACGACACAGCCGTAACATGGTACAACAATGGAGACAATTCTGGGGGTGGGGGAGCTGGAACAGTGGAGTGAGGATGGAGGTGGCAAGGGGACGAGATGGGCTGGCCATGAGGCAGGGGCTAGCTGACCCACTATTAGCAACAGGAGCTGAGGGAGCTTCCTCAGAAGAAGAGCTATGGCGGTGCATTCTGCTGCGCTGCAATGGGGCATGAGCTCGTTTAGGAGCTGCAGAGCTGCTTAGGGAGCCCGGCTCTATGAAACCTTAGCCCTGCAACCCCTTTAGCTGATGCTGTTCCCAATGTGCCACTAATTCAGTCTTCATAATCTACTAGGATAGATAAACGCCATGTCCCCCAGTGCTGCAGCTGCATGGCTTGTCATGCCTGAACTTCCTAAAGAAACATGTGTGGACCTAGTGTCCCTCACCAGCTAGAAGTAGACAGGCAGCAGGAAGGAAAGCCTGTAGCAGATACTGGACCTGCCAGCAGTCCTACAGCAATGACACAAACAAGCATTAACACCAGAGCAGACAACAAAATCATCCAGGACTGCCTAATAGATTTTGCTTTTCCATCGCAGCATCGCCTTCCTTAGATGCAAGTTGGGCATACGGCTGTTAGCTGCAGAGTGCATTTAGTTGAAAGCATAGTTGGCCTGTATATGCCAGCAAACTGTCCTTTCGTGTTACAGAACAAACTGCGTTAAAAGTGTGTTGCTTGGGTTGCAAAGTCAAGCAGGCCAAAGGTGGGGAATGCGAGATTTAGTTGCCCGTGTAACTTTAATTCTGCCCATCGGGTATCCATCCTGTGCATGAATGAGGCAGGGGTCCTGTAGGAAAAAGTGTGATCATGTAATTAGACTATTGTAATGCACACACACAAGGGGCAGAATTAAGGTTGCACAGGCAACCTTGATTCTAGCATTTCCTAATTTTTGAGTGCTTTAACTGCACCCTAATCAACTCCTTGTTCTTATAACAGTTTTTCTAATGTAATTTCCTAGTTTGTTTACCTTTTAAAAATATTCTATGATGTGCAGCAGTTTTGCATCCCTGCCCATCCTGGCTAATGGGGGAGGGATAGCTCAGTGGTTTGAGCATTGGCCTGCTAAACCCAGGGTTGTGAGTTCAATCCTTGAAGGGGGCCATTTAGGGATCTGGAGCAAAAATTGGGGATTGGCCCAATTGGACCTCCTGAGGTCCCTTCCAACCCTGATATTCTGTGATTCTATGATTAATAGCCATTGATGGATGTATCCTCCATGCAAATGGAACAGTTCTTGGAGGGTGTTCCTGAGGAAATAGAAAGGTACATCCTAGATGGGAAACCCAAAACTGTAATCGAGGCGGGGGAGATTGGAGCCAAATGGGTGAAGGGGCTTCATCGACTCTTGTGGTCTTCCATCCCCGCGAGTTACCTAATGGCCATGCCCCAGTGTCCCCAACAACTTCCTCCTTTGAGAACACTCAACAACCTTGGCTCTGAGTTTTCTCAGTTGGGCTACTTATTTCTTTACAATAGGACTTTGCATAAGCACTTTGTGATAGCCCTGAAGAGAATGACTTGTTAACTTTTGCAAAAGGGCCCTAACACATGATACTGAACAGCATAATACCAGTAATACAAGCAATACAGGAAAGAGAAGTTTCAATAACAGGCTAAATAAACCACCAAGCCAAGACGACAAACCCCAGCCTGAAAACAACATTTGCAACCAATCGCTCTCTGGGGCAGTATAGGCAACCTGTGCTCTGGCTCGGGCATGGGCCTCAGCCTGTACCACCTTTTCATAGATGTCATAACTGCTATCATTTACATATACACAACATCGGGGCCCGATGAGGGCACCAACCCCTCCTTGGGATGCCAAGAGATAGTCCAAAGCCAGCCTGTTTTGGAGGGAAAACGTCCTGAGCTGCTGTACCTCTTTCTTTAGGCCACTTTCTCAAGTACCATTTGCAGCCTTACAGTATAGCGGCCTATGCATGCCATGGCTGGCCCGGTAAACAGTGGCACTATTCCCAGTACAGAGCACCCTACAAGCTTCTCGGTTGTGAGGGAATTCTTCATATTGCCCTCCAATGCCGTAGTCAGTCACTGCAGGGTCTTTTCTCGTGACTCAACAGAGGTGTCTCGGGCATTTCTAATCTTTCCTTTGGGCAGTGTGGCAGTTATTGACAGATGAGGAACTCCATGAGCTATATAACAGCTACCTGTCCAATTGGCTGGCAGCACCTTGTAAGCCTTTCGGCCACATACAAAATAGTGACCTTGTAGGGCCCAGTAAGGACTGTTTTTTAAGGGGATTCCTGGGATATTTAAGGCTGCTTTGGCTGCTTTTCCAAACAGTTCATATGCCCCTAAGGGGGCATCCCATCCTCCTGATTGGGTACAAGTGGGGGCGTTTCTAATTGTGCCATTCAAATTACGCTCGCCATAGGGACCACTACAAACCCACCATTGGCTTGCTACATTGGCGATATTAACTGGACGGCAAGTTATATTTCCAAACCTTTCTTTTGTGGTAAGATTATTTGTAAGAGTTTTTCTAAAATGGGAGGAACCATTACACCCACACTGTTGGCCTCCCCATTTGGTCTTTATCCAATACCCATCAGCCCACTGTGTAATAACACAGGAGCTTTTTCCCACAGGACGACCACAGTGATCAGACTGGTTTCGGGTAAAACATAACACTCCCTCAGTGAGTACTGCAACTGAATACTCCTGGTCCTGATAGGTGGCTTGCTGTAAAGAGGTCTTATTCCAGAACGGCGAGTCCGTTCTTTCCTGCTCTTTGGTGGCGGCTAATTCTGCTAGGGTCAAGGGTAGCATGTCAAGGGGCATTCCCGTTTTGGGAGACAGTGGAGTTGGAGCACATACCCAGCAATCAGTCTGGTTTGTTAAAGTAGCAACATGGTGTGCAAGCGAAACAAAGGAGTTATGCTTCCGATATGCACAGTTTGGAAATAACAATACAGAGAATAACAATGTTACCCAATTAATTATCACCAGAGTCTTTTCAACCCAGGGTCTCCAGTACCTGGGTGGGCCCATTTTAGCGTAAAGGTGCCCACTATTTGTGTCTTTTAAACAGTAGCTTTAGCCCGAGATCATCACTAGATGATGAGTCAGCAGGTTGACGGTCCACTGTTCTGCTGACGAGGGGGCGGGTACTGCCTTCAGAAGAGAGTGATGGATCCAGTTCTTGTGTCCCTCGATCTTTGCCGCTGTATGGGAGATCAGCAGGATGGTATAGGGTCCTTTCCACTTTTCCTGGAGAGGCTCGTCTTTCCAGGTACAAACAAGCACAGAGTCACCGGGCTGTAAGGAGTGGATGGGAGAGTCCAAGGGGAGAGGTTGGCAATCCTTGGTATACCTGTGAAGAGAGAAGAGAACAGCAGACAGGGAACACATATACTGTGACAAAAAAAACATTACCCAGCTCCCATTCCCCTGACAGAACCGGGATGCCATTCATAGGCCATGCCCTTCCAAACATAATTTCAAAGGGACTAAGCCCTAATCTACCCTTTGGGAGAACGCGGATACGAAGTAGGACAAGGGGCAAAGCATCAGGCCATTGCAGTGAGGCTTCTTGGCGCACTTTTGAGAGATGCCGTTTAAGGGTCTGATTGGTACGCTCCACTACACCACTGGCTTGCGGTCTCCAGGGCGTATGGAGTTTCCAGGGGACCTGTAAGGCATGTAAGATGCTTTGAATGATTTTTGACGTGAAATGTGTCCCATTGTCAGATTCCATCCACGGGGGGAGTCGAAAGCGAGGAATGATCTCCTTAACAAACTTGGGGGCCACTGTTCTGGCAGTGCAATTACGGCATGGGAAGTCTTCTGGCCATCCGCTGAACTGATCCACTATGACAAGGAGATATTTGAATGCTTGGGTCCAGGGAAACTCAGTAAAGTCTATTTGCCACACTTGTCCGGGGCCCGGAGTGGGTTCTAGGTCAGCTGGTGGCACAGGATGTCCCGGTCGGGGGTTATTCTTTTGGCAGACTAAGCAGTCCGCTTGTACCTGGGCAGCCAGGGGCTGGAGTCCGGAAGTGATAATGTATTTTCCCATTAGCTGGATAAGTGCTTCCCTGCCATCGTGAGTGGTTTGATGTAGTTTCTGCAGCACTGGCCGGATCAGGCCCTTTGGTAAGAGGACCTTCCTTTCTGGGGAATGGAGCCATCCCTCCTTTTCCCGGAGACCGAGTTTTTCAGTTAGCTGTCTCTCCTCCCCAGAGTACTGAGGGGTTGGAAGCTCCCCTACTGATGGGATAAGGGCATGCATATGGGTGTTCTCAATCTGAGGGGATGGCAGGGTGGCAGCATGCTTAGCCTCTCTATCTGCCCGGGCGTTACCTCTGGCCACATCTTGATCCTCCCTTTGATGGGCTTTACTGTGTACCACCGCCGCTTCCGAGGGAAGTTGTACGGCTTCTAAGAGCCGGAGGATTTGGGGCCCATACTTGACTGGGGAGCCTTGGGCTGTCAGCATTCCCCTTTGCTTCCATAGG